GGTGTATTGCAGTAAATGTGAAACTTGCAAGCGAACGGCAGACCGCCACGTGATATATTCATTGAATCAATGCGTGTGCAATTTGTAAGGGCGCGGTGACACAGGCCTATTTCATTTAAAGGTTATAATCCCTTGTTCATCACGACGTCCTTTTTACTTTGATGTCTCAACAGCGTTACGGAGATCGCGTGACGTGGGGGTTCTGTATTCTTAGGTTTTTTCGGTAAAGTCATGTAGGTAAAAAATTTAAATTTAAATTAATAAAAGTAAAATAAAAATAAAATAAATGTAGGGAGGGTTGTGAGTTGACGCCGAGGAAGGGGGAGGAGGCGCCTCGCCCCACATCTTTAGTGACGTCAGCCGCTAATTATTATTAATGGGGGGGGGGGGGAATGTCCATTTGGAGGACGTCACCTGTTAATGATTATTGATGAGGGGAGCTGTTCGATGTGGAGTGACGTCACCTGCTCATGGTCGACGTGTAGTGACGTCACGAGCGTTGCACACAGACATTCTTGGCTCATTATAGTAGCTAATAATAATGGGAGGGTGTACATTTGGAGGACGTCACCTGCTCGTGATTATTAAAGAGGGGGGCTGTTCGACGTGGAGTGACGTCACTTGCGCCTGATTATTAGTGAGGGGGGGGGGAGTACTCCATATTGAGTGACGTCACCCGCTCATGATTATTAATGAGGAGTGGTGGGTCGGTGTCCATTTGGAGGATGTCACTTGCTCATGAATATTAATGAGGGGCTGGTCGATGTGGAGTGACGTCACGAGCGTTAAGGACATACATTCCTGGGTGATTATAGTCAGACCCCCCCCTCAAATATGACGTCACAAAGCTTTGCCCCCCCCCCCCCAAAATCATATTTCCATTTTGAAAATAAAACATGCTTCAAATCGCTTTAGACTATTGTCATTGAAGTGCGTATTTAATGTGGCGCTGCACTCTGATGTCGTAGGAAAAAACATTTATTAAAACGTCTATTTAATTAAGTAGAACGTGTTGTCTATATTTATTTAAAGTTGCGCATTTTGATGTGACGTCACATTTCTCAACCCCCTCGTCACTCGTCACACATCGTCACAAATGTCTGACCCCCCCCACTCCCCCTAGGTGCGTGACGTCATTTATGGACGGTCCCTTATGTTAAGATGTCAAGTATCCAATAGGTTATCTGTCGGTCAGCGGTGGCAACCCTCCGTGTTTTATCCACAGAATTGGATATCCCAGAGCTACCTCTGGGATCCCTCCAAACACATTCCTCCTGCGGAGGGAGCTGGTAGGAACGTCGGGCTGCTCGGTCAATGGCCAGGGTCAACGGCAGCGTGGTGTATTCCGCAAATATGCCCGACTGTGAGGGCAGGCACAAGCCGGCGTGAGTAGGTTAAACGTTGAGTTTTATAAGGGCACCACGGGGTCACCAGCCCCTCCCCACCCAGCCCCACCCTTCCCACCCCCCACCCAGCCCCACCCTTCCCACCCCCCACCCAGCCCCACCCTCCCTACCCAGCCCCTCCCCTCTCCACCCAGCCCGACCCCTCCCATTTCTGGAAAGCACGACGGACGGACACAATAATCCCCTGTGGGCTGGTGTAACCAGGAGGTTCCTACCAGTATTAACCTCTGGTCCATGCTATAGGTGGCAGCACTCTCCCACCAGCTCTGCCATTGCGAGCAATGTTCTTAGCACGACAGTCGTAGCGATATCTTCAATTTTAAGAACTGGAATTTCACCAAAGTGCAGAACCAAATTTGAAACGGTTAGGTTCTTGTGTGTGTGTGTGCTCATACAAATGTGACCAGGCTGAGACGATCAACTCATTGCACCAGCTAACCTGGTTTAATCACGTGCGGTTTCCTGGATTCGAACCCAGGGTCTCAGCGGTTGCCAAGCTCAGTGCTCTGTTCTCTGCTTATGATGTTTGGCAAATTTCTATTGTAAACGAGTATTCTTTGCAAGTTGGAGAAAGCCCACCTCAAGCCCTTACAGGTTGGGAGTCTTACCGACACGGTGATCTCTGGGGATCCGTCAACCATACCCTGAATAAGAAGCCTGTACCATCATTCGCAGCGCACAGACCAGAGAAGACACTAAAAGCCTCGCTGAATACCTATGTGTGTCCAAGATGTTCTCTCCCTATACTCGTTAATATAATCAGCCATGATCTATCCACTGGTGAATAAAGGCTTCCAAAAAGCAGTTGCCATCTCTCGCGGTCCTGCCATGGAACGATCCGTCTGGATCCTGCGCACGAGCCGATCCCGACGCTGCATCTCCTCGGTGGCCATCCTCGTGGGCTCATATTCTTAGGTTTTTTTTCGGTAAAGTCACGTAGGTAAAAAATTAAAATTAATAAAAGTAAAATAAAAAATAAAATAAAAATCACGACGTTTCGGAGGCAACACAAGCTTCCGTCTTCAGCCGGAGCCATCACAGCACGATAGCTGTATCAAGTGAGAGAAATACCAAGAAAACAGTATTTGTATATATACTGGTTGAGGGTGGGAGGAGCCAAGGTAGGCCCTGGATATTATTTTTAAATCCTTTATATTAAGTTCGCTTGCTTGCTTGCGTGCTTGCGTGCTTGCTTGCTTGCTTACGACCGTGCGAATCTTTCGGTCGTTTTTTAACCCACTTCCCGTGATCCAATCGAGCTGACATTTTGCACACAGACTCGTTGTGCGAGACAATTAATGTTCGTGAAAATTTTTTTCCAAAATTTTACACTGTTTCGGGAAAACAAATTAAATATTTAATTACCAATTGTTTAATACTGCAGACAATCATCTGACCCATAGGTGGCAGCCATCTCAAGCCAGAGGACGAGAGGACTCTAGCCGCCACGCATATAAAGGATTTAGAGTGAAAAACTTTGTTTTTACGGGTTAATTTTTTGTAAGGTTCGGTGCGGCTGAAGCACGCTGTTAGGAATGAGCCTTTGTTGTGTAAACTAGGTGCGGCTGATGTCAAGGTGCGCGTTTCCCCCCCTTTTCTTTCCACTCCATCGCCAAGTCCATTGCGGCTCTTCCTGCCACAAAGCGCGCTTTACTTTTCTTGAAACAGTTAATATCCCACATGGCTGGCGTTCATTATGGGAATAACGAGCTCTTTCGCAGTGCAATTGATTCAAGCTTTTTTCATCCTCTTCAATGTTTAAATGCGCTCGTTATTTGCTCAATGAATGACGCGACTGTGCAGCAGTGCACGGGTTAAAGTAGACAACTAATTCAGTAACGTGCAAGCGTGTCAGCTCCCCGTAATGGGGAATTCGCCATATAGTCTCGCGTTAGAACGTGCTTCTCTATACACAGGCTCGTATAAATTGTACATTGTGCAGGTACAGCGCCTGTTTGGGCATACCACTGCTGGATGAAAGCCTCCTCCCACGCTTTGCGAGCCATGGGGGATATTTGACCATACTTCACCCAAAAAAGGGGCTACACACTCCTGTTGAAATATTTAGTTTTTATGAATTCCACGATACTGCCATTGGTGTAACACGTCGCCGGGTCGTTCAACCCCGGACGTGGCAAGTTGCAACAAATAAGCACATTTTTGAAATCTTCCAATCTAACAGCATAAATGGGTTACAAACACAGTCGCCCAGCAGGTCGCCTATTGTGGGTTAAAGTGTGGGTAACCCCCCCCCCCCGCCTCCCAAAATTATTCCGAGACGTCTGGCCAGCGTGAAAGAGTAGGCCAAAAACAACCCTTACTCGACTTGCTCCATACGGAGTGGAGATCGTTGCAGCAGCACTGAAGATCCTTTCCAGAAGCAGTGGCGTTTTGCAATCAATTGCAGAGATGTGCCCTTTTTTATACCACAGATGTTAACAGGTTACGTCAAATCGGGGCGAGCGCCCCGGGCCCCACGCTTTGGGGGGCAGGGGAGGGGGGGCGCGCTTCCACGTCACGGTGTCAGGTGGGGGAGTTGGTGTCCACGTGCTTGAAGCGTCGCATCAGATTATACACTGGTCAACACATTTTTTCTGGCATAAGGTATTCCAACGGTTGTAAGGTTATTTTGGGATGCTGATTCCAAATCTGGCATCAGTTTTTGTCTATCACATCAGGTTTTTGAGATATCAAATATTGCATTTTCAATGAAAAACTGCAGAAGAAAAATATTAAATAAATGTGGATGTCTACATAAAATAATATTATAAACACACTATCCTAAAAATACAGCACCATATTTTAAGACTAAAGCAGTCACTGACTCGCAACAATTTGCAATCATAAGTGACAGAGTTAATTTCGGGTAAAATCAATGAAAACGGGGTATGCCGATAGCATAAAAATGAGATGTGATAGAGCAAATCTGAGATCAGATTTGGAATCAGCACCCTGAAATTATTCTAAAACAGCTGCAAAAGTCCAGGCCAGAATTTGTTTTTGTTGACCAGTATTATCTCACCACGTGTTGCAACCTCCCCAACCCACGTGGACGCGTTGGTGCACTCCTGCACCTTGAAACGATCTGTTAGAGTTTTTAACAGACAACGAGACAAGAAGTCACAGCTTCTCGAGACGCTGGCCTTCCTCAAGAGATGCCGAGATAACAAGGTCATACCCATCGCTTTCAATATATACGGGGTAGTATCTCTTGGAATCTCTCATTTACTTAATACAGCAAGCATGGCTGTGACGGTTCCACCTGAAGACGGAAGCTTGTGTTGCCTCCGAAACGTCGTAATTTTTATTTTATTTATATTTTACTTTTATTAATTTATTTATTTTACCTACCTGACTTTACCGAAAAAACCTACGAATTTGAAACGATCGTTTTTGCATTCCCCAAACCACATAAGCAACGCCCTCGGCGGGGGGGTGAAGGCCATCTCCCATTGGCGGAACCGTGCCCCCGCCCCCTTTCTCCGTCACGCCCCCCACCTACCCCGCCGCCCTGCGAGCCAATCAGAAGCGCGGCACTCGCGCGGACTCCGCCAATCACGCGACGCCACAGCCAACGCGGTCTGGAGTATCTAAACGGCGCTGCTTGGTCACGTCCATTGCGAGGGGGGCCCTTTAAACGTCGTGTTTTGTGTCGCGGTGATTGTCGTTGTTGTCATTGTCGTTATCGTATCTCGATTTGAAGCTTTCGTGACTGCAGGGATTCATCTTCTTGGTTTTTTCGGTAAAGTCACGTAGAAGGGAAGTAATAAAATAATAAAATAAAACATAATAAAATAAAATAATTCTCACGACGTTTCGGCCACAACGCAAGCGGCCGTCTCGTTTTCATTGGGAGCATGGATTTGTTGCTGGACGCCGCGAACTTCAGCACGCTGCTGGTCAGCATGGTGCTCAAGCTGCCGCAGATGGTGGTGCTCGTCAATAGCAGAAGCTCACGAGGGCTCAGTCTGCCCAGCCTGCTGCTGGAACTCGGCGGGTAGCGAGACACGCGTGACCCCCTCCCCACCACCACCACCACCCCCTCCTGAGCCTCTAAAGTCCCAGGGGTAGGGAACCTTTTTTCTGCCAAGGGCCATTTGGATATGTATAACATCATTCGCGGGCCATGCAAAATTATCAACTTAAAAATTTGCCTGTGATATTTGCTCAAATGTTTAATTAACTCGCCCCTAATGTGATGGGGCTGGAACTGCTTCTCTTTGGTGAGGCGTGTGATGATGTTAGCTGGTGTTGATGATGCTGCTGCTACTCGCAACTGCTTTTCCAGGTTTGCTCCTAGATTTAGTGAATTTCGAGTCCCGCCTGCGGTTTCCTTGGCAGGGCCACCACCAAATGATTTCGTGGGCCTCATACGGCCCGCGGGCCGGACGTTCCCCACCCCTGAGGCTCTAAACCTATCCCAGATCTCACAACCTCATCCCTATCCCTTGGTGCTAACACTGAGCCCTCACCCCCCCCCCCCCCCCCCCCAAAAAAAAAACCTTAACCCCCTCCACCGTGCCCTCAGAGCTGTCTCGAGGGTACGGCGAATCGGGGCGTTAGCCCCGGGCCCCGCGCATTGGGGATGGGGGGGGATGGGGGGGGCTGGGCGCTTCGAAGTTACGCTGTCATCCCCCCCCCTCCCCCCGCTATGGACGGCCCTGACTACCCTAACGCTAACCCGTGGATCGACCGTATCCCCGTTGATAACGTTAACATAGAATCAATATAACTTTCTAAACTCAAACCTTGACCCTAGTTGTTGCTACTAACCCTAATCTAGGATTTCGAATATACTCATTACCGTAACCTTGCCTCTACCTACCCCTGGTATCACCCTGACCAGAACGCATAACATAGACACGAACCCTTTACCTTGTTAAAGTTACTGACCCTAACACTGAACCTAAACGTTATCCTAACCCTGGACCCAACAGTGCTAACCCAAAACCTAATCCAAACTCCAATCCAACGCAGGTTGGCTGAGTTTTTATGCTCGGTGTGCCAACCGCTGCACCACCGCTCTCCAATAAAAAAAACACACGAGCCAAGATGAACGCACGTTGATTTTAAAATGTACTTCACTTACGATTGAATGGTGGTTATCTTGCACAGGTTCGTGATATTCCTCGCGTACCAGATGTACTACGGCTACCCGGTGCCCACCTACTTCGAGTACCCGATCCTTGTGGTCCAAGGTGGGCGATGGGGGAAGTTGCTTCGGTCCCGACAACCATTAAACAGAACTCACTCTGCAGTACAGAACTCAAGTCCTCATCACAATATCACACTTCACTGCAGCACGGAAGTCAGGTCCTTATTCCATTACACTTCACTCTGCAGTACAAAACTCAAATCCTCGTGACAATACACTTCACTGCAGTATTAAAATCACGTCCTTATTACATTACATTTCACTCTGCAGTATGAAAGTCAGGTCCTTAATCCATCACACTTCACTCTGCAACACGGAACTCAAGTCCTCATGACATCACATTTCACTCTGCTATATGAAAGTCAGGACCTTATTCATCACACTTCACTCTGCAACACAGAACTGAAGTCCTCGGTACACAACACTTCACTCTGCAGTGTGGAACTGAAGTCCTCGTTAGATCACGCTCTTGCACTACCGTGGCGGCACGAGCTGCGATCCAGCACTTTGAAGGCAGGGATTGGTGGATCGCGTAGATATTTGGGCTGCGAGGTGGCCAGAATATGCAAGTACAGCAAGTGGGTTTGTGAACATATCTGTTTCAGACCTCGTATGCTTGGTGGATTTTCTCTGGATACTGGGTTCGTCCCACACGTAATTATCCTAACACCCCAATGCTGGCCATTCATGGAAGAGCAACATCCATTGAACTGTATATGCATCCATGTCTAGGCCCTCTGGCCTTCAACAGCCTGCACTGGCCAGCGTGAAGTACGGTCAAATAACCCCCATGACCTGAATGTGGAGTAGGGAGGCCTTTGCCCATTCGTGGAATGACAAAGAGCTGTATATAGGTACATCTCAAGAGTAATTTCCGCACTCTGTAGCGCATTCTGTGAGTTGTCAAATGACTTCTGAAATCTTCTCCCCACAGATTTGCTGTTGCTGCTGCTCATACTGTATTACAATGGAAACCTGGGACTCAGCATCATTTTCTACGCCACCTTGTATCCTCATGCACAGCCCTTTTGCCAGTCCACTGCCGGATGATAGCCTCTCCGTGCCACGCGTGTTACGGAGGTTATTTGACTGTCCTTCACCATGCCGGTCAGTGTACATTGGTGAAGGTGGGTGGGGAGCATGAACATGGGAGTCAGAGTAGTACAGTACAACGATCGATGTTGCAGCAGTTGCCCTCTGATGCCCACAAAGTTGCCCCCACATTCTATATCAACCTGCTTTATGCGTCGTGGTAGCCCATCCAAGCATTATCCAGGCTCGTATCCAACTAATCTTCTGAAATATTTTGAGATCAGATGCATTGTGGGTGATTTGGTCATAGGTTTAATCCAGCTCAGAAGGCTGCACAACATTGCTACGCACTACTACTGCTCAACAGATGCCCACTTGGGAAAATAAATATAGACATTCATCATAACACACTGTCCAGCAGGTATGACAAAACAAAACTCAACATATTCGTTGATGATAATGAAGCAATTTCTAACTTGCACATATTTTGCAAATCGGATACATTGTTCGATCGACAACAATGTGTCCGATAACCCTGTGGCCTTTAAAGGTCAAGTATAGAATAGGTGATGTTTCTGGCAGTAGCCCTTCTACACAACAAATAGGCTATAGAGGTTGATTTGATTTGGAGACTGCACTTTACACCATAGGGCCTTCAAAGCAACATCTATTACAGCACTGGGAGCTGTGTAGGCTACAATAAGTGAATAACGCAAAGTGTAATTTTTATTATTTTGTTAATGACGAATGTGTTGATTTTTTTGCGATTCTTGCTTATCCACCCATACCAATGCAGTGTTGCCAAATGTTTCGTGTTTTTGTTGTGCAGCCACGAACAGCTGGGTTGAGACAATTCATTTGCTATCCTTGAAGTCATAGTTGAATCACGGGTGCCAACCGAGGGATTCTCACCCAGGGCAATGATAATACATTTCAGATTTGCTTGTCAGATGCCATCGTTGAGAGCAGCAACGTAAACCGGAGCGGACGTCGCCCGAGCGTGGAGGCCTCCGTCTCCGCTGCTCGGCTACGTGATGAAGGAGACGGCCTCGGAAGAGTTTTCGTTTTTAGGCGATGCTTGAATACGGGGGGTCGCGACAAGCCGAGCGCCAAACGCCTCGAGTCATTCGATGACGAGTTCCAGACTGTGGAAGCCGACGCACGAAAAGCTCGGGTCGGCGACCTTGTCGCTTGGGATCACACCACGTGGCAGGAAGAGGAACACGTGTGGATTAGACAGTAGCGCCAGTTATAGGTATCGTATTGACCGTGTAGAAATGTACGTGGCCTCTGACAGAACACCTTGCAACAAAGGGCACCACGGTGACAAGTTGTTAACTACCTTGCCTGGTATACAGCAGACTGTGGGTTCGATCCTGACCCTGAGATGCCTGTATATTTGGAGTTTGCGTGTTCTCCCTGTGGTCGTGTGGATTTTTCTCCGGGTCCTCTGGTTTTTCCTTCCACATTTAGAAACATGCGGTTAGAGTATTTGGCTGCGATACATTTCCACATAAGCCACTTCGTTGAGCTGTCATTTGTGGCGTAGGTCTGAAAAAAATATATATAGCTCAGTGGGCCTTAACTGGTAAAATAAAACGTTTAGTTTAGTTTTAAAGGATGATGGCCAATGTTCGAGTTGATGATAGGTTTGCAGCCAAAGGAGGGAACATGCTTGGGAGGATGTCCTCCACAGACATGGAGCAAAGAAATCTGTACGAGCTGGACTAATTGTTATTGTCGCAGGACCGTGAGAGAAGTTGATGGTCATGACTTATGATATGATAGTGCGTCTTTATCCAGAGCTCTTTAACCACATGTCAGATGTCTGGTCGCTATCAAGGTCATAACGCTAAAGGACTGGATCATAGATATCTGCATGGTGAGTTAAGATAGTATTTGCATTCCTGTGAATTAAATGTTTGGACATGGATATTTATGCATGTGCATATGTATGCTCGTGTAGATGTATGTACTACAGAGGTGGCAAACGGGTTTTGATTCCTTACCCGTACCCGGCCGCACCAGGGTTGCAAACGGGTACCTGATTGCGACCTCTGGGATGAAGCCATGTTGCAGGCGTGGGTAGGTTGATTCTAGGAACCTGAATTGTGAGAAGAGACAAGACGTTGGGAAATGAGTGACAAACGGTGACTCACCAGTGACTCACGGCCTACCCGTACCCGGCCGCACCAGGGTCGCAAACGGGTACCCGTACCCGGCCGTGTACGGGTAGCCGGGTATCGGGTAGGGTATCAGGTACCCGGTTGCGACCTCTGATGTACTAGTGTATGTGGAGTGTCATTGATGTGGGGACCGTTGTGTAGAGAAAGTACCATGTGAGTGATACTGTAGGGGCGGAGCCTCTACCTGGCACTGTATGGCCATACCTGGGGAGAGGTTGGGTAAACAGGAAGGGGCACGTGACCGGATTTGCGAAAAGGTGGGGGGGGGGGGGACCAGGGTTGAGGAACACTGTGAGGTGGGTCCTGGACCCTCCCGAAGGATCGGGAAAAGAGGCGTGGCCAAGGGCGGGCTGGCCTTCATAGCTGCTCACGATCAGCAGTTGCCCCAACAGTCTGTTACTGCTATGGGGAGGGAGCTTTGTCTTGTAATGTATCCTTTCATATAGATTAGCACGTACGTGTATGTATATAAAGGCCGTAATTATAATATATTGGGGGGGGACCTCACCCCCCCCCCCGATATATTACTATGAGATAGATTTCTGTTTATATGATTGTGGTTATGGTTGTACTTTATTAATCCCTAATCTCTGCCCTTACATACAATGAAACAAGAAAAGGTAAAAAAAGAAAAAACAGAGCAATGTAATACAATACACTATTAGACATTATTGTAAATAATAGATAAAAAGTCCATCCTATGTGTTAGTGCATTTTTTTATATTTTAGGCAGGAAATTCGTTTACAAATTTAGATTTTTTTTTCTGGGGGGTGACCCCCAGACCCCGTGGAAGATTTGGTCCACCCCCAATGTTGACTCCATGGCTACGGCCTTGATGTACGGTATGTTGAATTTCTTTCGCACCGTATGTAGCCGACCGTGTTAATTTGCGGGGAAAGCACAAAACAACACAAAAAACATTTCTAATGAAATTAGTTTTTAATCTAAAACAATGGTGTGTGTGTGTGTGTGCGCAGGCTTGCTGCACCATGATAGGTGTCAGCAGTAAACTGGCTCAGCTCGGAAGCCTCTGGAAGAGCCAAGACTCGGGGCAGCTCAGCGCCGCTACCTGGGCAATGGCCGTGTACACAAGTGCAGGTGTGCACAGCCCTCTGACACATGCGACCTTTATTCTACATTTTAAAATGCTTTTTTCTCCCAATTTTATCCGAATTTTATCCGAATTTCGCCATCAGTGTCGCGTCACGTGACGAAGTATCCATTCGGAACTTTCGCAAAGCAGTGAGGCCCTTTGTTTTTGGAGAACGGCCCACGGGAGCGGATACCAGAGTTCCTTCCATTGTGCCTCTGGGATGCACTTTATAGGACAGCACTTTTCCACACCGCTCTGTCATCTCGTGACAGACGGACAGCACATTTTTTTTATTCTCGCGGCTGGGTTTAGGAAAATTAAGAGCAGAACGAAATTTTACGTGAGAATGGAGAATTACAAAAATGCACATTTAATGCAAATTATATTCAGTAATGTTGCGTTTCAGCCGACGTTGACACAATTGTACAAACGACATGGAACAAACAAGAAGCGATATATCCAAACGAGTTTGCAAAATCAAGACAAACTGATTATCGAATCTCATGATTACTGAATCATAAAAATTTATCAAATTTCTAAGGTGGGGGGGGGGACTGAATTGCAACATTCGATAAGTTATTCCTCGTTTTCAATGAAGCCCTCTGTATGTGACTGTATGCCTATGTGTGTGTGGCTGTGTGTGTGTGTGAATTTGAGGGGAGGGGTAGTGGAGTGGTTAGTGTGCTTAGCTACGAACCTGGCGACCCGAATTGGATTCCCGCTTACGGTCGACGTCAGTGACGATTATCTGAAGCGGTCCTGGGCCTCCCATAGGTTGACTCGGCTTCAAATGGGTACCTGGTGCGGTGTGTAAACATCGCCACTGGGGTGATAAAGGCAGCCGGGCATGGTGTTGGCTACCCACGCCCTCGTGTGCCGTTCCGGCCTTCATATGTGCTCGCTAATAGCACTTGCCTTAAGTCAGCTAAAGGCTATATGGGGAGTCTTTGTACCTTTTGTGCATTTTTTCATGTGGGTGCCTGCCTGTGCTTGACTTCACAGCCAGAATTTTCACAACATTCATGACGACTCAAGATTTTGCTGGTAAGTGTTTGATGCTTTTTTTTCTTCTTCTAAATTTAAGCAGCTCCACTGGTTTTACAGCAGCAAAAGAAAGTATATTTGAACAAATATAAACATTCACCACTGCGCCACCCTACACTCTGAACCTGTCCAGCTGCGTTCATTTTCAATTACAGCCACCGCTAACATGAGTGGCGAGCAAAATCTGAACAGGGCCTTGGGCCCCTCCACCAAACTGCAATGACGAGCTGGTGTAGTATGGTCAACCAACCCCATGATTGGCATGGCATAGGAAGGCTTTAATCCAAAAATGATTTGACAAAGTGACGTATATCACTTATTACTTACAATCATTAAATATTTCTTGGTTCTTTCGGTAAAGTCACGTAGAAGGGAAATAATAAAAGAATAAAAATAAAACAATAAAATTCTCACGACGTTTTAGTATATTATGTTTTATTATTATTTTATTATTTCCCTTCTACGTGACTTTACTTAAAGAACCAATAATATGAATCCCTGCAGTCACGAAAGCTTTAAATCGAAATTAAATATTTCGTGAAAAAAAAGCTATAAAAATTTGACTACTTTAAGCTTAAAACTAGCAAAGTTAGAATAAGCAAATCAACCATCACGAAATATACTATCGCTCCTCAAAATGCACCTGTTTTCATGTTCATATATATTTTTTACGTGATATAACTTTTAAAAATAATAGCTGGCCCTGTTGCAATGTTGTTTCTTTTTGGCTGCCGCTTGACGCAGTGCTGCTGAGATTCACGCTCATGCTGCTGCTCAACTTCTGGGTTCTGTGCACCATCATTCGCCTCCACAACAAGCGCAAGCTCGAGTAGACAACCCTCGGGAGCACAGCATCTCACGCTCCGCCGCCTCTCACACTCGCACCACCTCTCACACTCCACCGCCTCTCACACTCCACCGCCTCTCACACTCGCACCACCGCCTCTCACACTCCACCGCCTCACACTCCACCGCCTCTCACTCGCACCGCCTCTCACACTCGCACCACCGCCTCTCACGCTCCACCGCCTCTCACACTCCCAAAAACCGCCAACCAAATCTGAAAGTGGCGTATACTGTGGAGGATGATCCACTCGTCCGTACCCCACTGATTTACATTGACAGCCTTGCTGTCTTGTCAACAGGTGATTGAATATATTGTATTGTGAAAGCGATCGCTTTTTATATTAGAGGGGAGGGTTGAAAGGTTTTATAAGTGTATTAGTGGGGTATCTATATTAGTGGGGTATCTATAAACGGATCACCCTGTGCTCACCTCTGACCAAATCGCCCAGGAATGCGCCCAAATTAATCGGATCTCACGAGCTTTGCAGAGTTGAGCCTGTGTGGCGCGCGGAAGGATCATCGTGCGCGGCAGCGTGTTGTGTAGGCTGTGGGCCGACGTGTTGGGCAGCAGAGGCCAGTGCAGGAAATCCCATTGTTGTACTGTACTTATTTTCTCCCACGTCCATGCCTTCCCTCTGTTCACCAATCTGCACTGACCATTCTTGTTGAGGTATGACCAAATAACCCTCATTTACCCATTGCTGGGGAGACCCTTACCCAGCAGTGGATTGACGAAAAGGACTGCAAATGTCTACATGTATAACTGAGCAATAGCCCACTGAGGTTAGATCGAAGCATAAATAATACATTCCTGCGGAGGGAGCTCGTAGGAACGTTGGGTTGCTCGGTCAATGACCAGGATCAACGGCGGCGTGGTGTATTCCGCAAATATGCCCGACTGTGAGGACGGGCACAAGCCAGCGTGAGTAGGTTAAACGTTGAGTTTTATAAGGGCACCACGGGGTGACCAGCCCCTCCCCACCCCTCCCACCCAGCCCCACCCTCCCCACCCAGCACCTCCCCACCCAGCCCCTCCCCACCCTCCCCACCCAGCCCCTCCCTGCACGACGGACGGACACAATAATCCCCTGTGGGCTGATGTAACCAGGTTCCTACCAGTATTAATACATTCCATACAATGAGAGCAAAGCCATGTGCTGCCAGTGACTGACCCCCAAGTAACATTCCAGATCTTTCTCTGACATCCTTAACATCCTTAATGGATCCATTTTTCCTTCCAGTGTGCACTCCATTGTGAAACATCGTGTCCCGAAATTTTCGTGAACTATCCATGATGTGTACCTGTTACAAATGTCCCTTTTTAAAATGCACGTGAATAAAGTATTTTTTTACTTTTCTAAAAAGAATGTGTTGGACCCATGTTTGAAGAATTGTTGTGATAACATAAATTTTGTAAGTGCAGAAGTGCTTTTATGGGATCAAAGTACACATGACATTGGGATTAGAGAAGATTTGGGATTAGAGAAGATATGGGATTGGCTAGACATACGTATCGATAATCACGGGCTCAAGGCACACTTTGTGAAAGGATTTAGAACTGACATGAGATCAAAACAGACGATGGAATATTATGCTAATTTCTGGGAGGCTCAACTGGGAAATGTAGTCAGCTCTTCCTGCCTCCTTCAGCCACCCCCATTATTGACATAACCACACCCACTCAAGCACTAGCCCGGCCGACTCTACAAATAGCCTCGCTCTTGTTAACGATGGCCCCGCCTGCCGCTCACAGGCCCAAACCTACTACTCAGGTAGCCCTGACATTTGTCCAAATCATAAAGTCAGAACATTTTAAATCTTGCTATAAAATCTTGAAATTCACAAAGGCTTTGGAGGTCGAACACTGTGCCAGACATTTTCAGAAATCGCAGAGAATGCCTTGATCAATCCAGGACATTTACCTTTAAAATGTTCCGAAATACGGTGCATTCAACACAACCCGAGCCACAAGTCGAATTCCCCGAAAAGATGGTGATTACGTCAGCAGCTCTTAACTTTTGCAGAACGACCGATCAATCCGTCTCGCGTCTACTGCAGGCAACACGAGCCGGGATCTCATTGCTACGTCCAAATGTGTGCAACGGCCGCCACGAAGTTCACTCCTCGACTCATCTCGCGCCCCCTGCCGGCCGATCTCAAGCATTGAAACTCCCATCTGAGCTCCCCAACGTCTTGCGTGGTGGTGGGGGGAAACGACACGAAATCGAAACTGAGCTATTTTGTTAACTTAAAAGTTGTTGGTGATACTCCGTTTCATGTGCTACGAAGAAGGGTCATTGCCCGAAACGTCGCCGAGTATATATTTCCCCTTTTAAGGCCAGTGTGTCATTGAAGAACGTGTTGAGTTATTTTGTCATTCGTGACCTACATTCAACAAGCATGCACATTATTGGTATGCTTTGTCTTATTTAATTCTAGATTTGAAGCTTTCGTGACTGCAAGGATTCATACTCTTAGGTTTTTTCGGTAAAGTCACGTTGGTAAAAAAAATAGTAATAAAATAAAAAATGAAAATGTAGTTCCTTTCATTTTATTTTAATATTTTTTTACCTACGTGACTTTACCGAAAAAACCTAAGAGTTTGTATTATTTAATTTTGGGTCCAACTAAGACCCCAAATCTAACAGGTAAAGCCCTTGCCTGTAACATATGACAGTTCACCAGCACTGATTCAAGCCTGGATTTTGCTGCTGAGACACTTAACGTCGAAATCGCTCCGGAGTTTTGCTTGTCAAGAACAGGTACTTAATGCTGCTGAAATGATGCAACTCCCAGAAGGAAAGCCGTTGGACCGATAGTTTGTGTAAAAAAAAAAACAGGAATTTGAAATTGTGGGTGGTGTTGATCATGTACACGTTGCGTCACAGCTGTAAAGCCACTGCTGGATGAGGGTTTCCCCACGCTGTGCGGGTTGAAGGTGAGAAGTACGGTAAATCTACTTTCCTACGTTGATCATAACATTGAAAATACATGTAATTGCGAGACTAACAAAGAGCAGAGATGAGAATTGATGGGATGAACACATTGACGAGAACAAGTGAGGCTTAGGCGCTTGCCATGGAACCAACGGTACCTCAACTGTATTTCATTTGTAACCTTTTCCACGCAAGTTTCATTTATGTTACGGAAATATTTTGGACATTCAACTGTACATTTATAACAAGTATGCGCGGACTAATGGTAGAAAATACAAATGTGACTGCAATACAAAAAGTTGTAAAGATACACACGTGCCCACGAATCTGTTCCTTGGCCGCATTGCAGTTAATTGAATGAAAATTTGTGGTTATTTTTTTGGAAAACAAACTGATAACAAGGTAAAATACAAATGTGTCTAAAACAAAAACACGATTGCAGTGCATATTAGTTACTATTGCACATGGACCAGTAACATTTACTTAAAAAAGGAGGAAAAATATCTGAAAAGTGCAGAGATGCACTCAAAAAAAGCATTGAAAGAGGTCTCGACCAAAAAAAAAACCCGTGGATTAGGGAACAAACAAAAATTATACATATTTATTATCAGGCAGTTAGGCAACATACATCACTAAGAGGGCTTGTGGTCGACAGACGAAAGTCAAAAGGAGGGAACGCATCCAAAAGGATGAGCACCGCGGGACAGTGGGAAGAGATTCTAGATGTTGTGTAAGCCATCTCGCTTACGTCCTATGTACACGCACAATTACGCTTTTCAATAAAGCAAAAATTACAATAAAGTTTACTATCGAGGAACCTGCAACTCCGGAGCAATGTCTCAACTCGCCATTTTCGCCATCGAATCAAGTTGTGTCCATCAGGTAAACGTGCAGCTAATGACTTCTTGATCAGTGCTGGCAGAAAGGTGTCCACGAGAGGGAGCTCTACTCTCACCACACTCGACCTGCCGATCGACTGAACCCATTTATACTGCTGGCTGGAGGGGTAGGGGGAATTTACTAAACTTGCACCAACGTAAGAAGCCTTTTATTTGACCAGGTAAGGTCCACGGAGCTAAATAGCTATTTTTCAAAAGCGCTCTGGCCACAAATGATAGCTCGACAAAATTGCTTTTCACGTGGGACTTTATCGCAGCCAAATACTTTAAACGCATGTTTCTAAAATGTGGAAGGCAATATCGGGAAAGAAATCCATGACTCAAAGGAGACCATGCAAACTCCAAACACACAGGTGTCAGGGTCCGTTTGGAACCCACGACATCCTGTATACCAGGAGAGGTAGTTAACATCTCAGCACTGTCAGTTTCAATGCCAGGAGATTGAACCAGTGACACCTTGACTGCAAGTCCAGTGTGTGAACAATTATACCAGCATCGTTTCTAAAACCCGATTTGACAACTACATTTTACGAAATAATTTCTGGTTCATGCACATTTTTTTATAATTGCATCGTTGTGAATTAAAGTAAAAATTCACTCAGAAGGGTGTCCTTTGTTGTTGTATTATACAAACACCATTCCCACACAGCGCAAAACTAAACTTTGCAGCCTGCCATGAGTAATAACTAAATAAACTACAAGGCATATATATATATATAAAAAAAATAAGAATTGGACTCACCAGTGGAAGTCGTGTGATGCTATAGTAAGAGAGTATTTACTTTTTTATATGGGACAATATAAACTTGGCTACTTTTTTTTTATTAAAAAGTATCAGGTACAAGACTCCAAAATTCTGAATGTGAAACTGCGCACGTGTGCTCATGTACGGCAGGTCCTCGCTTAACGCGAGGTGTTCACACGTGTTTTCACTGTAACGCGGTTCTTCCGTTCGGGAACACTTTTCACGTAACGCGGAATGCGCCTCGTTACAACGCAGTTTCTGAGTGGTCGATAAAGAACAATTTTCTTGGGCTGCGCAGCCGAGCAGTATGATACAGTTCGCGGAAAGATAGTCATGCGGTGGCGTACCCTCAATTATCCCACAATTTTATTGTGCGCGTACATTGTATCTCTCCACACTTTATTGTTAAATTACTATGGGGACAATTTTTCGTTGAATGCGACACTTTTCCACAACGCATCGACCGCATTAAACGAGGACTTACTGCAACTATCCTTGCATTAACTTGAAATGTATATACAGGGTGTCCAAACGTAACATCAACTAATAAATTATACCTAGACAGAATTTAAACTGTGGCCTCAGACATTCTGAATGGACAGTTTGGATTTAATTCGTCACTTATGTCATAATACTCTAGCCTCTTCATCAGATGTGTGCTTCTCTTGAAGGACACATTATATATGTCCTGTAGTAAATTTTCTTATGCGGACTTTCATCGTGGCAGTGGTAAATTTTAGTTTTACATTTTCCGGCCATGTTGAAACAACTGATCTATACCCCTTTTCGACTAGAACATCTGGGCAGAGCCAGTATGGGGCCCTCACGGTACACAGGTGGTTTTCCATTGGTTATGCTCCACACTTAAGCTGGCCTCAAAAGCAGGCCTCGGCTAAGGACGCGTTCATCGCGTACGACGTGAAGTCAGTACACGGCGAGGACAGTCACTGCGTCATCTTCGTGCGTCTCAATTCATTCACTGCGTGTGACATCAGCGATGCGACATGGCTTCTGCAGTGGAAAAACCAACTGGCACTTACAGAGCCATGCCGGACTGACTCAGCACAGTTGCAGAGCGGTAACAAGATGTACGAGAAAAGACCAACCACCACTTTTGCACTTGGCAACACTACCAGGACTGTGGGTGTGCAGGTGTTTAATTTGCGACGAGCAGAGAATTTATCTTTGGCCGCTAGACATCCAGCTTGTCCTCTCCCAGCTTGACGAGCGTGCGCCAGCGATCTTTCAGCATCACGTTAGAGCGGCCGACAAAATTGTACGACTCCAGGATCTTGGCCCAGTTGCCGGTGCCGTACTTCTTCACGCCTTTCTTCAGCCAGATCGTCTCGGAAACAGACCAGTGCTGCTGGGAAGAGGGCAAGTTGGGGAAGAAGGGATGGTAACTAAAACATGTTCTTTATGTATAGCGATAAAAACAATAACATTTTGTGAGATACTGCTATTGTGTCATGGTTAGCACACTCAACTTTCTTTTCGCCTTTCTTCAGTCAGATCGTCTCTGTGGCGGACTGGATCTATAATTCAACCTCCCCATGTATGTAGTTGAAAAATGTATCACGTTTATGAAATAGAACTGCCTCTGTCCACCCAGAAGGACAAGTGGATATAAACACAGTTAGCTGATCAAAAAGTCTCCATGTGGTGGGGTGAAGTGTGGGTAATCCCACCTCTCCCAAGGTGTGGCAAGTGTGGAAGAGTGGGCCCGCTCCGGGCAGTGCCCTAAAACTATCTCTAGTGGAGGCCCTTCCGTCAGAGTTGGCATGAGCAAGTGTTTGCAGGGTTGAACCTTTACGTTTAAAATACAAATCACATCCTATTCTCATAAAATGTTTGAAACATTATTTCATCTCAATATGCTTTTCTGGCTGTCTCATAAATTACTAGACTGGACAATGTAATTTTTTACTGCCCTAGGGGAGAAATTTCCCATCAAAATAGAGCTGTAAATCTGTGTCTATAAGCTTTTTCAGACACATTCGAGTGATGCCAGCACAGTGCCGAGAGTATGGATGATTTTCTGCTGGCGATTTGTCAGAGTTGATGCAGGATAACTCTGGCCTCAAAAAAGCCTCTGAAATTTTCCGCGGAGCCAATCAAGGCCAGGGATGGGGTAACCATTTGTCGAATATAACTATTCACTGCCTATAACGTCAACAGCACGACTCAGATTTTGCAGTGGATAACCAACCTGGAGCCTGAGCCATCACTTGATGGGCATGGCCCAAGTTATGTTGTGGACAACAAGTATAATTGAGAAGGCGATGGAACAGGTATTACAACTCACCCTCTTTTTGCGTCCAGCGATGGAGGAGTCGGCTGAAATCACTGACGTTCCTGTACAAATTATAAAAGCAAATGTTCAGCTTTCAAAGTAACAGTTACTTGAATTTTTGTTGTTGTCAGAATCAAAGTATACAAGGATCATTTTTAATTGGGATTATTTTTTAAAAATATTTTTTAGGTATATTGCACAAACCCAATGCACTGCTGTCAATATTATTTGTCTGTGCAGTGTCCCAACAGCAATATCAGTACCGATAAAAACACTTGAGCACAGAATCTCCATGTACTCACCCAATGACGCATTTTGTGAAGCATCAGAAGTACAATCAAGCCACCCCTCGGATCTGCTAAGGGACTGCAAACTATAAAAAATACAAATATATAAGAGTAGGAAAAACACCAATACCATAAACAATATTGTTTATAAACATTATACAAGCACGAAGTTCCCCATATAGCCTTTAACAGACTGTTGGTGAAAGTGCTATTAACAAGCATCTATGAAGGCCGGCACGGCCCACAAGGGGGTGGGGTGACAACACCAATCCCGGCCGCAGTTATTGGTCGTGAATAGGCTTCAATCTTAGATCGCAGGGTTAGTAGCAGTGCACTAGCCACTGCACTCACTGCTGTCCATTTTTAACGTTTGGTTACGTATGGTGAAAAAGATGATCAACAGACATACAATATAACACCAATACCACAGTAATGAGCATGGTGATGCAGAAGTTGAAGGTAGTGGTGGTGGTGGTGACAATGCTGCCTCGGTTGGTGGTAATAATGCTGCTGTTGCTGATGGTGGTTGTAGTGTGAGCGATGGTTGTGATGTTGCTGCTGCTGCTATGTATTGTGAAACTAATGCTGGTGATGATGGTCATGCTGCTGCTTGTCATTGCTGGTGTTCGTTCTGCTGCTCTTGGCGATGTGGATGCTGTGGATACGAATAGTCTTGATGTCCACGGTGCTGCTGTCTGTACTTGGTACTGCTTCTGCTGTTGGTGATGCTGATGGTAGAGAGTAATTTATGCTGCTGCTGTTGTGGAGAGAGTAGAGAGTTTCCTATACCTGGGCAGTGTGCTCATGACTGACTCCGGTTTGACAGCAGAGGTCTCACTCAGAATCAGTTGAGCAGCGTAATGCTGTGTGGAAGCTAACAGGTCTGTCATGCTACACTGCTTCAGGTCTTCTCGGCCAGTCATGCCCTCCCTTCTCTACGCTTGCGAAACGTGGACCCCCCTAATGGAACATCTTCGCCGGTTAGAAACATTTAGGCTGGCCTGCCTACAATCCATCCTGGGTTTAACCAGGCTAGATTGTGAGCTCACAAATCCTTGAAAGATCTGGACAAATCCCATCGGTGAGATCCTCTGGCAGGCAAGGCTGCGTTGGCTGGGTCATGTAGCCTGCATTCCCAGCCAACGCATGCCTAAACAGCTTTTGTTCGGCCAGATAGAGGGGGCTAAACGGGCACGGCACGGGCTAGAGAAGAGATGAAGTAATGTGGTACAGGAGTATGTAGAGCTGAGTGGACTTGCAGATGACTGGTACCAGCGGTATCAAGATCGGCCTCTGTGGAGGAGGCTCATAAAAGATGATACTGGGCAGTTGGAGCCAATCGCCCTCCAACAAAAACGGAGGGCAGAAGAGCGACGCTCACAACAACGAGCGGAGCGCTGGGCGGCTAAAACACAGCAAGTTGGCACAGGTGGTAAATCGGCCAATCATCTCAGTCAGTCGACCAATGGCGCCTGGGTCTGCCCCGTGACCTGCCAGCGGGCGTTCAACACTTCACGTGGCCTCAACATGCACATAGCCTGGCACAAGCGCCGTTGTGACGTCACCACCACTTAGTGGCGAATGGCGGTTGTTGTTGTTGGTTATGGAGCTACTGTGCTGTCCGTAGTGGTGATGATGCAGCTGCTAATGCGAGTGATTATTATGTTACTGCTGAAGTTGGTGTTTGTGGCGACGATGCTACTGCTGATGCTATGGTTACCATAAATGGTGACGATGGCCGTGTTGGGTATTGGCTGTGTCGGGTGGTGGCGGGTTTTAACAACACATTTACATATTTACGCGACCTAACCCAAAAAAACCTCTACTATGGACAATGATGATGATGCTGCTGCCGACGGAAGCGATGGTCATATAGCTGCTGGTTTTGGTGGCAAAGATGAATGTAGAAATCTGCACGAGCCACACCTCTTGTTTGTCGCCAACTTCTGCTGCTTGGAACGATGGGGTGCATTCGCCGTTGTGTTTTTGCCGTTGACTTGAAAGGGGTTGTGCAACTTTAACTTCTTCACGATTTGTGGGCTATGTTGGTCCGAGTGTTCCGACTGCAGGAAAAACAAGCAATGGATCCCATTTATTGTTCGGACCTTCACCGAAAGCCCCATCAGCGAGCGCCAATTAAGACTCAGTCAATACAGATCAAATTTAGATCAGGGGGTGAATAAAGGGGTTTGGAAACAGGGGTCATCAGGTTTTGGATGGAAGAGCAGTTGAGTTATGTATCGGTGTCCCATTAATATCCTTTATGGGTATTATTGCCCAATTATCCCCACAACTTCAAGTCATTCTATCTACGATTCCCATCTTGACCGGTGTGGTGAAGCAACCCCTCTGACACACACTGTATGGGGAGGGGGCCTCATCCAGCACCGGATTGACAAAAAATGGCTGTACCTTTACCGACAAACCAAGACAAGCCCATTAAAGTCAGAGGAAAGCATGACAAAACTTAAATTCCAGATCCAAACAATGATCGTGTAGTCATGGTCCCAGGGAGTGAACCGGACCTCAAATGACAGACCTCTGGTTGAATTTGATAAAACTGATTATTCAGTGCACAGCTAATGTATGTGATCAGAATTCACTCACCCCGCTGTCCAAGGCATTATGCTTTCTCCTGAGGATGCGCTTGTGCAGAGACATCAAAGAGATGGAGTCATCCGTGCTGCTGCTGCTGGAATGATCGCCACGTTTGCACTTCTCCCCACCTCCTTTGTGAGGAGTGGTGGTAGTTATGTCCTGGGGGTGGTTTCCAAGCAAGGTGTCCGGACACGCTGGGTTTGACGGTGCAGCCGGTGGTGCAGCCGGTGGTGCCATCGCCACCAGTGGGGTAGGCTGTGGCTTCTTCGTCTTTGTCACAGGCTTCGCGATTGAGGGGGCGGCATTCTCCGGCAAGAAATCTGTACCCTCCATCTCCTGCAAGTTGCGCATTTGTTAATCTTAACAGATTGCAGCTGTATTGCTCACATGGGTTTAACAACATTTATATAAGTACTTAACGTAATATTTTGGGTGTTTTGTATTTAGAAATTAGGGTTGAGGTGAAAATAACCCCAATTACAAGAGTCTGCAGGCTGACCATAAAAACATATGTTACATACTCTTAGGTTTTTTTTTACAGTTATTTTGCTGTGCCTTTTCACACCTGATGAAGGAAGCTTGTGTTGCCCCTGAAACGTCGTGATTTAATTGATTTATTTTCATTTATTATTATTTTTATTTTTACCTACGTGAATTTACCGAAAAAACCTACAAGCATGAATCCTTGCAGTCACGAAAGCTTCAAATCTAGAAACATACGTTACAATTTGGATACAGTGTCTAAATGTGACTGAATTACAAAATGCTGGACATAAAACCGTGAGAATGTTTATGCAAAAGAGATAGGCCCATCAGCCTTTGGCAAAGGAAAAAGGTCTCAAAAGTCTGGACTCGCTAAACAGACGATCAACATCTTCTTGGTTCTTTCGGTAAAGTCACGTAGAAGGGAAATAATAAAATAAAACATAATAAAATAATTCTCACGACGTTTCGGCCACAACGCAAGCAGCCATCCTCAGGTGAAGAACAGGTCTGTCGGGAAGACAGCGTCTGAATGAAACACCCCAGGCTTGGAGCGTATATTTAAGCTGGGTTGGAGCGCCTTGACAAATAATTTGCATATCACGGGGAATTTAGCATAAATATTCTAAATTCCCCTTGATATGCAAATTCTTTTGTCAAGGCGCTCTTCCCCCTCCAACCCAGCTTAAATATACGCTCCAAGCCTGGGGTGTTTCATTCAGACGCTGTCTTCCCGACAGACCTGTTCTTCACCTGAGGACGGCTGCTTGCGTTGTGACCGAAACGTCGTGAGAATTATTTTATTATGTTTTATTTGTATTATTTTATTATTTCCCTTCTACGTGACTTTACCGAAAGAACCAAGAAGATGAATCCCTGCAGTCACGAAAGCTTTAAATCGAAATTTAGACGATCAACACTTTAACGTGAAACCATATTTTATGGAGAGGACACAAGGGCTACCTGGAAGAGCTTGAGGGAGACCCGCTCATCACCACCGCCCCCCAATGCATTCAGCGCCACAAAGGAATCACGCACCTCGAAGCACGAAACAAAAACCTTGCCACTGCTGCCTGTTCCGCTGCTGGTACCAGGGCGATCAGCTGCCGGTCTAGACACACACACAAAGATCCATCCTGTAGCTTACATCGAGACCGTTGGGGTAAATGCTGTTAGCAAGCACCTGGTGTGGCCAGAACCATATGCAGTAATGTTTACACTGCATGTTTACACACTGCATGACGTACTAATTTAAAGCCGAGTCTAGGACAGACCCCAGGACAAGTTCAGATAGTACTCGTGCCATTGGTCTTCGCCATTGCCATAAATCAAGATACACGCATTCCTGCAGTCACGAAAGCTCAAAATTAAGTAAGATACACGCATCTAAATACAGACAACCAACAAAATAAATTATCCAATACCCGGGTGACTGAAGGTGAATGCGTTACAGAGCTGCGAGAAACAAGATGTAGATTATGAATTACCTTCATTGTAACTTAATTTACTAAAAGGCTTGGATATTCACAGCTATTTTAATTAACTTAAAGATATATAGGGAGACATCTTAGACAGCTAACCAAAGCATAGAGGTTATCGATTATTATATATTTTTTTAGCCTCACGGTGCATACATTAAATCACGTGTAACGAATCAATACTTCAATTTGTACATGTTGCATATGTAGTGACATCGCGGATGTCACTGTGGTGCCGGCCGTAAAGAGGCCTGGCGAGCGGATGTACTCACATCGCGGACATCACGTATGTAGCGACATCGTGGATGTCACTGGGTAATGCCGGCTCTAGCAAGTTCAATAGAAACATGAATTGCTCGTGCGAATATTCTCTCTCTCTCTCAGAATCGACCGACTGATGTAGCAGACGAAACAATCATCTTGTTGAACGATTCTAAACCTTGACGCGGCAATGTTAGTTTTCTGTTGTTCAAGGTTTTTACATTTAGTTTACTATTACACTGTGAATTCTATGGCATAATTAACTATTTTTGTGCTTAAAATTCTCTAAAAAAACAATATTTATATATAGTTCATAGGAGTCTGGAACGGATTAATCGTATTTACATATAATCCAATGGGGAAATTAGGTTCGAGTCACGACCAAATCGGGTTGCGACCAAAGTTAATAAACGAATTATGGTCGTGACCAGAGGTTCTACTGTACCAGCCCTAGAGGGGGCTAGGTGAGCGCTGAGTGGCACCACACTCTGCGTGTAGTGCTGACCCCTACAGGGTAGGGTGTGAGAGTGCAGGCCACAGGAACGAGGTTACTGTGGGCCATGGCATTCTGGTTGATCTCGAAGGATACGTGACCAGTAAAGTCAACATGTTGCCCCCAGGTGGGGGCGAGGGGATGGTCACATGTCGGAGGAAAGATGCTACGGGACGGGTCGAGAAACGACAGGAGGTTTCTCGAAGGTGGTCGTGGCCAAGTATATAAACCGGGTCCCCACAGGGACCAGGATTCAGCGTTGCTACCGTCATTTGAAGATCTATGTTCTAAATCCGAGAAGAGTCACCAATACGTGGACCTGGACCCAAGCCGGGGTCCGGTCCATTGCAGCTAACTCCCAAGTGTGATTAGCGTAGTTTAGCTGGTGGACCACCACCATAGGCTGTTATCTAGTAAAGGAGCAGTTACCCCTTTGTGTTAACGTGTTGGTATAAATGTGTTGCCTCTAAGAAGTATGTCTGCGACTCAGTTGAGCCCACTACACATAATGGGTCCATATAACCCCTAAAACCACCAGCAGCTTCTACAATCAGCACAATATAAAAAAGGTCAATGTTAAATCGATGTGTGACAATCACAATTATCTTAAATCATGGGATGGGTGGGTGTGCAAGTTATTACACCCACAAGGCTTATTCATGCTTTCTTAACTATAAAATTAATTTTTTGTCTGTTTCTTTGTCTGCCTGCGCATGCCTTGCAACACTTTTAACTGACAAACTGTTGGGTTTACTTTTCGATTTAAAGCTTTCGTAACTGCAGGGATTCATATTCATGGTTCTTTCGGTAAAGTCAGGTACAGTGGAACCTCGGTATACGACCGCTTTGGAATAAGTCGAGTCAGTAAATACGACTGTAGAGTCGGTAGATGCTACTGTAGGGTCAGTAGATACTACTACAGTCAGTAGATACTACTATAGAGTCATTAAATACTACTGTAGAGTCGGTAGATGCTACTGTAGGGTCAGTAGATACTACTACAGTCAGTAGATACTACTATAGAGTCAGTAAATACGATTGTAGAGTCGGTAGATGCTACTGTAGGGTCAGTATATACTACTACAGTCAGTAGATACTACTATAGAGTCAGTAAATACGATTGTAGAGTCGGTAGATGCTACTGTAGGGTCAGTAGATACTACTACAGTCAGTAGATACTACTATAGAGTCAGTAAATACGATTGTAGAGTCAGTAGATGCGATTGTAGGGTCAGTAGATACTACTATAGTTAGTAGATACTACTGTAGAGTCGGTAGATACTACTGTAATCGGTAGATACTACTGTAATCGGTAGATACTACTGTAGAGTTGGGAGATACTACTATAGATTAAATAGATACTACTGTACTCAGCAGATACTACGAGAGAGTCAATAGACTACTGTAGAGTCAGAAATTACTACTACAGAGTCGGTATTTAACACATTCCTGCGAAGGGAGCTGGTAGGAAAGTTGGGTTGCTCGGTCAATGGCCAAGGTCAACGGCGTGGTGTATTCCGCAAATATGGCCGACTGTGAGGGGGGGCACAAGCCGGCGTGAGTAGGTTAAACGTTGAGTTTTATAAGGGCACCACGGGGTGACCAGCCCCTCAACACCAAACCCCACCCCTCCCACCCTGCCCACCGAGCCCCTCTCCACCCTCCCCACCCAGCCCCTCCCCACCCTGCCCCTCCCCACCCAGCCCCTCCCCACCTACCCCACCCAGCCCCTCCCTGCATGACGGACGGACACAATAATCCCCTGTGGGCTGGTGTAACCAGGAGGTTCCTACCAGTACTACTGTAGAGTTGGTAGATACTACTGTAGTCGGTAGATACTACTCCAGTCCGTAGATACTACTGTAGATGCAGTAGATACTTCTATAGTAAATAGATACTACTGTAGAGTCAGTAGATACTACTATAGAGTCAGTAGATACTACTGCTAGAGTCAGTAGATACTACTGTAGAGTCAGTAGATACTACTGTAGAGTCAGTAGATACTACTGTACAGTCAGTAGATACTACTGTAGAGTCGGTAGATACTACTATAGAGTCAGTAGATACTACTGTAGAGCTAGATACTACTGCACAGTCAGTAGATACTACTGCAGTCAGTAGATACTACTATATAATCACTAGATGCTACTTTAAGAGTCAGTAGGAACTACTATAGAGTCAGTAGATACTACTGACTATTGTATGTAGGGTGTGTAGGTACGTACGCCGACAAAATACAAATTGACTGGGAGAGCGGGGGGGGTGTTAAAAATAATTTTGGAGGGGGGGGGGGCGCAGTATTTGTGTATGTATATGTTATGTTTTTAAGACAAGATAAGATTTGAAATATATTTTTCCCCTGGGCAAAACCGGGTAGTTCCTGCGAGTAACTTATATAATCTAAAGTCTGAAAACTCATATTCCACTTGTTTTGTTTTACAAAAAGACTTACGGCTACTAACGTGCTTGAAAATACACACGCCGCCCAACAACGAGAAGTGTGGTTATGTTTGACCTATATAGGTAAATGGAAATATACAACAGTTAAGGTTGCAGAGGGGAAGGGTTAATAAAGGGGTGTTTTACCCTTTATTGGCTTCTTTCCTGGCTTGTAGGACTTTTTTTGATGCCTGCCGACAGAACACAACAGTTACACACTGCACACCTTGAAATATTTTCATATCGCAGAGCTCTCATGTAGGCTTTGGACGTCAAAGTAAACACGAATGTTGTCGTAAAAGTGTAACTTTCACATTAGTCAGAGCTGTTGCGAGAGATTACACTTTCACTACTCCAGCCAATCACCTGCCAGGCCGACAAGCAAGCACCAATGACGTACTCGGTCTGTGGCAAAAGATAGCTACATTATTCATGTACGAAGTATCTTAACTTTAAGACGCCCAATGTCGAAACTATCATACACACTCCTGAGTTACACCAAATCTCATTTAAAACGGAACTTGCGACATTGCAAGCTACGATATCACAAGTCATTCTACTTTGGCCACAGAGTTGTCCAACTCAACAACGACATCTTCTTGGTTCTTTCGGTAAAGTCACGTAGAAGGGAAGTAATAAAATAATAAAATAAAACATAATAAAATAATTATTATTATGTTTTATTTTTATTATTTTATTACTTCCCTTCTACGTGACTTTACCGAAAGAACCAAGAAGATGAATCCCTGCAGTCACGAAAGCTTTAAATCGAAATTCAACAACGACAGTCATCGCCTTATTTGTGGAAGGGCTTTCCACCCAACCGCCCATGCGCTCTCTCATCATTCCTTACGTTGAGTAGGAAGGGTAGTGACTGCAGACTCAGCAGGGGCTCTATCAAGTTGTTCACGCACTCGAAGATTTGGCTGAGTGGGTAGGTGGTCAGCAAAGACACGGGGACGCTGCGATTCTTCAAAGCGGCCTGTAGTTCATCCTTCAAGGGCTGGGTGAGGACAGTATCGGCAATAAATAACTTTTCACATGTATCTGTTATTTAGCAGTCTCACCATCTCGTAGTATAGTATACTTTAAAGTACCAAATCATAGTGCGAGTTAGGTAAATAAAAAAATGTTAAAAATCTCAAGGCGATAAAAGTTATTCAACTCGCTTTTAAGGGATTACTACATCTTGAATCATTGCCTCACTTGATGCAGCTAATCTGGCTGTGACTGTCCCACCTGATGACGGAGACTTGTGTTGCCTCCGAAACGTCGTGATCTTTATTTTATTTTATTATTTTTATTAATTTTGATGTTTTACCTACGTGACTTTACCGAAAACACCTAAGAATATGATTCCTTGCAGTCACGAAAGCTTCAAGTCTAGAATTATTCAATAAAGCTCACATTCAATATAGCACAGGCTGCACACAACAAATTTCCAAGGATGCGTTTCAGATTAAAAAATGTGGATTTTATTGGACAATTTCTGATAATTTTCAGATTTGCAGATCGTTTATATGACAATTGTCACCCAATGCCACGTAACAACTTTTACATCATATTCATGACATGACTTCATGTTTTTGGATCAATCTAAAATAAAAAAAATTCATATCGTCTGACATTTGATGAATAGATTCATCTGAAATTCTGAATATCGGAAACACAAGCCTAACATTTACTGTACATATAAGAAGGTTTTTGTCATCATACCTTGTTAGTCTTGCTGTTGCCAAACTGCCTCTTGAACACCTCCGCAGCCTTGACATAGTCGTTTTGAATAAAGCAAAGAATGACCGCCTAAAAAGAAACAGAATTAAAAAAACACAAAAATTCAACGTCAACAATATAACTGGGGAAAAATCATGCCAGTGTTGATATACGCAAAATGTCATGCATTTATCATGGATTAGCTGTTGTGGAGGGAATGGCTGCACGGTGGTTGACTGAGTATTCTACAAACCCAGAAACATTCATTTGATTCCAGGCCACGATTAAAATCAGTGGCGAGTGATATCTGAATCGGTTCTGAGCTTTCAATCATTAACAACCAGCACTAACCAATGTAAAGTATTTGTGAATCAATCCCCATTAACGACAGGCGTTCATCCAGCAGCAGATTGGCAAGCACCTGTTACGAAGACACTACCATCGTTACCTGTATCTTGAATTTCTCCTTGAGCTTGGTCAGAGGCTGTGAGATCTTTAGTTCGTCCTCCATGATGGTCAGCACTTGCAAAGCTGATTCCATTGGAGTGAGGCTGTCATCTTCAAACTGCGCTTCTGTGCACAGAGAACAGCAGACAGCACACGATTGTACGTGTTTAATAAACACAATCTAAATGTTATCTACTAGTACAACACACCGGTGTGTTGGAGAGTAAACCCACATTTACAATTCGAGTACAACATTTCGCCAGTAATTACGACTAGCATCATCAGGCAAAAGGCAGATTTTTAGATAAATCCTCCCGTTTTGTTCTTAGAGGGATAAATGCGATGTCGTCACTTGTGAGCCAGTCAAATGCGAAGGCCAGGGTGGGGTGTTAATGTGTACAATAAATCACAATGGATATACATTACCGTTTGTGTTATCCATAGGGTTATTAACATACATTATGTATGTACATTATGCATGTACATTATGCATGCACATTGTGCTTGTACATCCTGCCGTTATTTGTGTGGACGAAAATCTCAGTACCTGTTGTCTGCTCACAGTTAATCCCCACAGACGTTTAGTGACCTGTACAGGCATGCAATTAAATAGTGTATTACTTGAGGATTCGCTTCCAAGCAGCACTAAGCCTGTAGCTATCCAAACGGTTAAAATTATTTAAATTTCTCTCAATGTCGATAGATTCTCGAATTAGTCTTGGCCAGTTAGTAACTAGTTTTGCACAGAACTTCAACTATATAAAAATCAATTGAGTGTCCTTGTTGGCACGGTTGTTCTGCCAATGCCAACACAGTTGTATTTGGAAGTATTTAATATTCCTTTGGTGTTCTTTTAGTTTCATGCTGATCATTCGTCCTGTCTGACAAACATAGCATTTGCCACAACCCATTAATATTTACGCGATGCAACCCAAAAAACCTCTGTGGATAATATTGGTCCCGAAAGCCTACGTGTTAATCTAATTCTTGGTTAGGTCCGACTCACCGAGATTCTGAGCCTCGGCAAGGCGTGACATCAGCTGCAAAACTCGCAGCTTCATCATCGCCTCCAGGGTCTGCTTGAAAGGACGCTGGATCACCACTGCACGCGGATACATAAACACCATGCTCACGTGTACGCGCGCACACCCATACATACACGCGTGAACACTAAACCGATCTCAGGCTGTGTCAATAATATGAGTAAAAAGAAAGTAAAACGGATCAACACTGCAATAGACCACATCTTCTCTCACCACTCTCACAGAGTACCCGACTAGTAATTGCAATTAATTACAAATGACACATTTACAACAGATCCCAGACTGCTCAGCACTCCCTAACACAGTACTGCCCATTGTAGCTGTTGAAACATTATAATGAAAATGCCGCATGTTACTACTGAAAATAATGAGGGGTGAGGCAATGTGCCCAATGCACCTGAGCACGCAATGACTCTTCTTCTGTTTCGACCACAACAATATTGCCCACTTTGAAAATAGCAACGGGAATTAAAACTAACGGTATTATTATTAAAACACGGTATTATTCAATATGATAACAGGGTGCGCATTCCACAAACTCCTTTACCGTTTAAACACAGCAAAAGTACTTTAAACACAATTACATGGGAGTTATTAATTACAACAGCGGTCACAATCTGAATGAGGAGCCCTCAATCTTGCACAATACTAACCACCACTGATGATTTTGCATGACCAATGAAAAGCAACAAGTAAATATTCAGTTCCAAGTGATTTGGCCATTCAATTGCTTTGCCTCAGAGTTGGTGAACTGTTACCTACGTGACTTTACCGAAAAAAAACCAAGAGTATGAATCCTTGCAGTCACGAAATCTTCAAATCTAGAATTATCTTGGACTCGTTCTTCCTTCCTCTACGATTCCAGTCTTTGACTCCCACGTGGAGGTAAAAAATAAATAATAAAAATAATAGAAATAATAATAGAAATACAATTATTATTATAGAAACAATAATATAAATACAATTATTCTATTATTTCAAAAAAATGTATTATTTATTTTTTACCTACGTGACTTTAAAAAACATTGAAATAATAATAGAATAATTTTATTTCTATAATTTAATTTCTATTATTATTTCTATTATTTTATTATTTTTTTTACCTACGTGACTTTACCGAAAAAACATAAGAGTATGAATCCTTGCAGTCACGAAAGCTTCAAATCTAGAATCCCACGTGGAGGTCCACATTTGGTATAATCCCACGAAACTCTCTTTGAGAACACAGCACGGCTGTACACGCTAAATCGATATCGACACGCTAAATCGATATCGACACGTGCGATTGCAAACAAATCAACAACAGCTGCAGCAGCGTCAGTCACGCTGCAGTGAGGGTCGCCCGTACTGTGTCGAACTTCTTTCGCACCGTACGTCGCCGACCGTGCTCATCGGAAATGCGGCGAGGTTGGTGATTTATAAACAACAATAACAACACCGTTGTTGTTGTTATTGTTGTGGGCACGGGGTTACACGCACGAGTCGCAGCTGCTGTGATAGAGGCGAGGATGGATGGAGGGAGGGAGGGAGGGGGGAGACACGTACTCTGCATAATGTCCCTCATCTCGCCGAACTCCAAGTAGTTCTCCTCGTCGAAGAGCCGCTTGCCAACGTAGAACACGTAGTCCAGGATCCAGCTGTTGACGATCTTCTCCAGCGCCTCCTGCATCTCCGCCTCGTTGTTGTTTTGCTTCTTCTTATCATCCTCCTCCACGTTCACCGCCTCACCCCCCTTCTCCTCCTCCTCACCCCCCTTCTCCTCCCTCTTCTCCTGCCGCTCCTCGTGCCCCTCCTCTAACATCGCCTCCTCCTGCTTCTCCTTCTTGTCCTCCTCGGGCTGTGTCCGCACCGCCTCGACCCCCGTCAACTTCGCCGCCGCCGCCGCCGTCGACGTCTTCCCGCGCTTCGCCATTTTGATTGCGGAACCGGATCCGTCGTCGACGAAAACCCCCCCCGCAAGCCCCCCCCCCCCACCACTCCGCACGCCCCTCCCACCACTCCGCACGCCCCTCCCACCCCGCACGCCCCTCCCGCAAGCCCCCCCGCAAGCCCCCCCCAAACCCCCCCCGCAAGCCCCCCCCCGCACGCCCCCCCACACCCCCCCCCGCAGGCCCCTCCCGCAAGCCCCCCCGCAAGCCCCCCCCAAACCCCCCCCCGCAAGCCCCCCCCCGCACGCCCCCCCACACCCCCCCCCCCCGCAGGCCCCTCCCGCAAGCCCCCCCCCGCACGCCCCCCCACACACCCCCCCGCACGCCCCCCCCACACACCCCCGCACGCCCCCCCCACATACCCCCGCACGCCCCCCCACACACCCCCCCGCACGCCCCCCCACACACCCCCCCCCCGCACGCCCCCCCCCACACACCCCCCCCGCACGCCCCCCCACACACCCCCCCGCACGCCCCCCCCCACACACCCCCCCCGCACGCCCCCCCCCGCAAGCCCCCCCCACACGCCCCCCCCCGCACGCCCCCCCCACACCCCTCCCCCGCACGCCCCCCCCACACACCCCCCCCGCACGCCCCCCCCGCAAGCCCCCCCCACACGCCCCCCCCGCACGCCCCCCCCCACATACCCCCCCCGCACGCCCCCCCCGCAAGCCCCCCCCACACCCCTCCCCCGCACGCCCCTCCTGCAAGCCCCCCCCCGCACACCCCTCCCGCAAGCCCCCCCCCGCACGCCCCTCCCGCAAGCCCCCCCCCCCCACACACCCCCCCCCCACACACCCCCCGCACGCCCCCCCCCCCGAACCCTGTAGAGCAAAGTCGCGGCAGTGGATTGGCCGTGGCGACGACGTGACTCGATCTTACAGCGTGGAGGTGTTTTGGGTGAGATCGCCGTGAATGCACGAATGTTGTGTCGTCCAACACCACCCGACGCAGGCAGCCAGCAGGCGAAAGAGACAAAACGCATTTTGCTGCTGTTGCGGTGGTGGCATTCCGTGTATGTTACGATACACTACACTATACACTACACTATACACTACACTGCTACAAACATGTCAACTCATTATGTTTACCCCGTATTCTTGTACAGGGACTTTTCAGTTCCATACGGCGTACGGGCAAAAACATGAGTTTTTTTTTATCAATTTGTTTGTGTTTCTCCCTTGTGATGTGACTTTGTAGGATGCATGTTGAGATCTATAAGGGGCACAGGGTGACCAATGAAGTCTGAATTGGTCTGTAATAAGGGATTGACAGCGATGTTGGTGGTGATGGTTGGATGGGCCATAAACGTCAGTAATAATAACGGTGAGGATGTTTTTTCGATTTCAAGCTTTCGTGACAGCAGGGATTCATCTTATTGGTTCTTTCGGTAAAGTCACGTAGAATGGAAATAATAAAATAATAAAAATAAAACATAATAAAATAATTCTCACGACGTTTCGGCCACAACGCAAGCAGCCGTCCTCAGGTGAAGAACAGGTCTGTCGATAAGACATTGTCTTTGACACTGATTGCAACTCTGTCTTATCGACAGACCTGTTCTTCACCTGAGGACGGCTGCTTGCGTTGTGGCCGAAACGTCGTGAGAATTATTTTATTATGTTTTAGTTTTATTATTTTATTATTATTTCCATTCTACGGGATGCCTTTACCGAAAGAACCAAGAAGGTGAGGATGTTCCCAATGAATGTGTGGGTGGGGTTTTTTATTTATTACCAAGATCCTTATATGGTGCCCGTTCGGCACCCTCCTCCACTGCGTCGTTCGGCTCCGTGAGCGCCTTCGAAGAGGGACACGCTCGTGCTGATTGGCCTCGGAGCCGCACGCGGTGAAACGCGCACGCCTCGTGTACACCGCGGCTGTCGCGAACAGAGGGGTCGCGAACAGCGCCATCACCTGCGAGCGATTAAGGGTCCGTACATAAATGACATCACGCGATTTTGGAGGATTTTTGACCGCCCCCTCCTTCTTTCGTCACAGGACGTCACAAAAAGTCAGACCCCCCCCCCCCACTCAAATATGACGTCACAAAGCTCTGACCCCCCCACCCCCCACACAAAAAATTAAACATTCTTCAAATCGCTCTAAACTATTGTCATTGTACTGTAGTGGGTATTTAATGTGGCGCTGCTGCACTCTGATGTTGTAGGAGAAAACATGTATTAAAAAGTATATTTAATTAAGTAGAACGTGTTGTCTAAATTTATTTAAAGTTGCGCATTTTGATGTGACGTCACATTTCTAAACCCCCCTCCCCCTCGTCACACACCGTCACAAATGTCTGACCTCCCCCCCCCCCCACAGGTGCGTGACGTCATTTATGGACGGCCCCACTCCACGACCTTAGTTGTAGACGTCCCATTGAAACGTAGTCCGGTCGCCTCAACCTGGATGTGATACGCTTGTATTATAACCACACATACTCGTGCTGAACATGCAAAAAAAACACACTCTGGTAAGACATGCATTGTCTTTGACACTGATTGCTACCATGATTCCTTGCAACAAGATTTCTGTTTGGTGTTTGAGCATCTTCACACCTCTTTTATTGCCAGAAAGGGTACCACCTATTTTTAAATCCTTTATATTAAGTTCGCGTGCTTGATTGCTTGCTTGCTTAGGACCGTGCAAATCTTTCGGTCGTTTTTTAACCCACTTCCCGTGATCCAATCGAGCTGACATTTTCCACACAGACTCGTTGTGCCAGACAATTATTGTTCGTGAAAAAAATTCCCCAAATTTTACACTTTTTAGGCAAAAAAAAATTTATTTTACATATATTCAAATAGAACGCATTCATGGCTTTGGCTGAACATTACAGTGCAAGAGCCCAGAGCGTAACCCCTCCACAGGCCGTGGTGGAGTAGCGCAGTTAGTAGCGCCCTCACTTCCCATGCCAAAGGACGCAGGATCGATCCCCGCGTCCTCCACAGGCGAATATATTTTTAAATCCTTTATATTAAGTTCGCTTGCTTGCTTAGGACCGTGCAAATCTTTCGCTCGTTTTTTTAACCCACTTCCCGTGATCCAATCGAGCTGACATTTTCCACACAGACTCGTTGTGTGTGACAATTAATTTTCGTGAAATTTTTTTCCAAAATTTTACACTGTTTAGGGAAAACTAATTAAATATTTAATTACCAATTGCTTAATACTGGCAGACAATCATCTGACCCATAGATTGCAGCCATCTCAAGCCAGAGGACGAGAGAACTCTAGCCGCCACGCATATAAAGGATTTATAGTGAAAAACTTTGTTTTTACGGGTTATACTTATTATTCTTTGATACTGGCAAGATAGGCCCCATGTTGTAGCTGCTCACCCCGAGCGATAAATACACTGATCGTGCGTGGTCCTTGTGCTGTTCGCCTTTTGGCGTTCTCTGGTCTGACACTGGTGAGACGAGGCCTTGAAGAAGGCTGTCTCTGATGTAGACCAATCGATTTAAAAGACAATGCATATATTACCAGAGCATGTTTTTGTTTGCATGTTCACCACGAGTACGCGTGGATAATGCAGACATGATTCCTTGCAAAAGGTTTCTGTTTGGTGTTTAAACATCTGAACACCTCTTTTATTGCCAGAAAGGGTCAAATCTATTCTTAGAACGCGGTGGGTTTACACAATGCCCCCTAGAGACGAGAACCCGCCAGCCCGGCTGTGCGTGAGCGACACGCGGGGTAGACAGCGCTCCCCCTGCCGACGGAAAGAGGCAAAAGCCGAGAACAAAAAGCCTACAACACCTGGTATTCCCAGGCGGTCTCCCATCCAAGTACTAACCAGGCTCGACCCTGCTTAGCTTCCGAGATCGGGCGTATTCAGGGTGATATGGTCGTAGGCGAAAGCTCAATGAAGATTCAGTAAATTCATCTTTAACCTAGTTGTCACTCACCTTTGCCTGAACTGATTTAACTTTCCCGTGTGTGAAGACACCTCCTGCAGTCATCCTCGCATTCACGGTGGAGTTCAACTCAAGACGTCTCGGTGCAAAGCCAAGTGGTCTCATCTCTGGAGTAGCAGCAGCAGCCTCCCAGTTGAGCATCTATCTCAGGAGAAGAGTTGTGATCATATTTACAGTATATCCAGTATTTGTGTGTATTTAAACCATGACGTCCAGACTTTGTTCATCCACTGATGGATGAAGTCCTACAACACGCCATGTCTGTCCTGTCCTAGAGGTTGATTGAGCATACTTCACCACGCTGGTCGACGGTGCGGGTTGGTGGGGAAGTGGTGGGGGTGGGGAGAGGCTGACCTGGTTCGAATATCACTCGACACCACCGATGTTAGCCGTGCCCGGGATTCTAACTCAGCTCAGCAGCTTCACTGCACCGTGACGCTGAGAGCCACGGCGCCCTAAGGGCTGTGGTCTTGACAGTGGCAGAAGTGAGCTCTGGGGTCGCGATCTCTAGCTGGTGGTGAACACGAGTTTCGTGGGAAACGCTCATTCGCTGTGAAAATAGCATCAGCAGAATCCTGATAACGTTAGAGATGAATTTACTGAATCTTCTCTGAGCGCTCGCCTACGACCATATCACCCTGAATACGCCCGATCTCGTCCGATCTCGGAAGCTAAGCAGGGTCGAGCCTGGTTAGTACTTGGATGGGAGACCGCCTGGGAATACCAGGTGTTGTAGGCTTTTTGTTCTCGGCTTTTGCCTCTTCTCGTCGGCAGGGGGAGCGCTGTCTTCGCCCGCGTGTCGCTCACGTACAGCGGGGCTGGCGGGTTCTCGTCTCTAGGGGGCACCGCTACCTCGGCGAGAAGCTGACAACAGATGAATTTTACAGCCTTTGTCATTCCACTGCTGGATGAAAGCCTGTCCAAACCACGTCAGATATAGTTTTTGTTAACCGTGTATCGCCACGCTGGTCAGTTTTTGGGTTTGCGACGTCACTTTTATTGTTGGCGCACGGCTAAAATATTTATTTACAGCTGCCTGATTGAACGTTCACAGCCCTCTG